AAAATTTTATGTGATATTGTATATTGGGAAATTAAAGAAGAGAACTACAATTTGTCATACAGTGTTGTACTTTTACATAAATTAATGAAAACTACATTTTATCCAGATCATTATATCGGTAAAATACCCGGCGTTAGTGATAGTGTTACTAACTTTAGCGTTAGTGTTCTAGGGTTAACAGCTAGAAAGTCACCCAGTGGGTCAACATTTACTTCAGGAATGGCTGTGAGACGTAAAACAATCCATAGCAGCGTCAAAGCTAAGCAAGTGAACCCCGGCTCCATTTGCAGCAGCAGATCTTTGCCCTTCCTTTGCAGAATCAGACTCCAGTTCACCATCAGCAGCCATTACTCACAGTAAAGCTGCTGCATAAGGAAATACACATTATTTATTAGAAACAGTCTCAGGTGGCACAGATATGAAGCTATGCTGTCAGGAAACATGGATTTAAAGCTCTCTAAGCAACTTGTGGTGAATAAGATGTCACAGATGTTTAAAACTTTTCAGGGAGACATTCAGAGCTTTGCACTCATCACTTCATCTTGATGAATCCACTACAGTATTTGCATAACGGTAGCAGCTGAAACATTTTGCCAATGTTCCCAGAATTCTGTTTGACATGCATCACATTCAGATGGAAACTGATCTGTAGAGAAGAGTTAGACGTGATAAAGGTTCAGCTGGAAGGACGGAAAAGGTTGATGTGTAATAAATAAAAGGAAGATGTCAAGGGAGAAGTTCAATCCCCTGCTGGTGAAATAGAGCAGAGAAGCAAAACAGAACTGACTTACGTTTGCCCTGCAAGTTCCCATAAGGTTCAGGTAATTGGAAGCTCCAGGTTATGGATCATTAAGTCGTGGGAAAGCAGCTTTAAAGTCTGTGGACCGCTGAGTAGTTAGCCAGCCTGCCTGGTTAGAAGTCCAGTCTGACCATGGAACAGGTCTCAGTTTTAATGATGTAATGACACAAAGCAAACTGTACGTCAAGTTACAGTCGGAAGTTATTTTATTATTTTTGAATGGCTATGTTCCTTTCATCAGGATTATTGGAACACATCCTTGCACCAGTTTCCCCACTGATGTGCCTGAAATGTTTCACTGAATCTGAATTTTTTTCTTCTTTTATTATTTAAAATTAACAATTCAAACTAAAAACAGGCTGTTTAGGTCACTCTGCCTAAGAGCGGTGCTTAGTGTTACTATAATTTCTGTGACCTATTCTTATGTCATCCAGTGTCTACGTGCAGCATTAGGCTCTGTCATGGTTTAAGTGAGTAATTACTTTGACTCACCGCAGATCTATAAATGGATCGAGGAGGTAAGTGTGATCAGCGAGCATCCTGATCCTCTTAACCGCTTCTCAGGTAATCTGGGACAAGTTTTTATTTTTTATTTTTGGGCAAACACGCGTTACAGCTATCTCCAAGCCTCAAAACTGGAGTAGAGTTCAGTTTTTAAGTATCACATATAAACAAACTCTCATGAACCTTGAAGTCTACAACTTACAGTAATATTTGCATTCTTTTTCTGCTCCATTACAGCTCATTTGTCTTCTGTTTTGTTCATTTCTATTCAACTAATTTTATCGTCTTGTAAGTTTGTACTTGTACTTATTTGAATCATTGTCTCCATGTGATGGGAAATATAGATTTTTTTTTTAATGATCTGGGCTTTCTGTGTTTTGCCTCAGTTGAACACTAGAACAGTTTAAGTCATGGCCGACTGGACTACAAGGTGTGCAAACTGGGTCGATGCTGCTTTGACGGCTCCACTTCAGTCAATAAAAATCACCTAAAGAACAGGAAAATAAGAACTGTCAATATGTTTGGTCTCTCGAATTTTAACTACAGCTGTGACTCGATAATCCGACCCTTAACAAAACCTTGCTAACAGAACTCATGAAAAACAGCCTGAACATACCGACAGCCTTGGATTCTGACTCCGACATGACATTTTATGTCACAAATCAGGATAACGGCGTATTATCTGACTGAACAATCCCACAGATTGGCTACGTTCAGACTGCAGGACTTAATGCTCAATTTGGATTTTGTTGTGAAATCAGATTTTTTTTTTGTTCGTTCACATTTCCAATTAAATGCGACTTGTATGTGATCTGCTGTGTGAACTTCATACGACCCAAAAGTGTCCCGCATGCACAGAAGAGGACACAACGACGTCACACGCAGCGAGCGTGCTCAGTGTAAAGTGAAGTAAACATGGATGGTAATGGTGGAGCGTATCTTGCTCCCCCGCTGCCAGTGATGGTGGAAACAGAACTGTGACCGCTAACTAAACTGGCATCAGCAGTCAAATACTGCCTGTGCGTTCCGTCAATTAGGCGTGAAATCCAACGATGCGTAGTGTTCTAACAATACACTAGTTACTATAACAACTGGGAACAATAACTACCAACAAATGAGCCTTCAAGCATCAAGTCCTCCTTGTATCTTGACCTCCGTCTTGACAATCCGACAGCCTTGCTATCCGACATAAATATGTCGGATTGTCGAGTCACGACTGTACTAAGGTGTTCCTAAATAGTTTTCTGGTTTCCTCGTAGAATCCTCCACAATCCTCTCCATCATTTTCAATTGTAAAAGTCTTATTTTCAACTATTTGTTTTCCTTCTTAGAACCCATTTTCATTCACTTTTCTTTCTTGTTATCTTTGCTTCATCTCTGTGACCTTCACCCTACTTAAAATCCATGTTTTAATTAGTCCAAGAAGAAAGTCTGTGATTGAACTGTTGAAAAGCGAAGAAATGAAAAAGCACACTGCAATAGATTTATATATATCCAGCCTGTGTGACAGTACATTTTTGCCTGGTAAGCCGCAGCATGTCCTGTCCTGTTTACTACTCTGAACCAGAAGCAGGTCTCCTCCCAACAACACAGCTTCTGGCCCTGCTCGTGCTGCCTTCACTGCATGCTGGAATAATCCAAGTAACCTCTTCTTTGTGAAATTGAATGGCACTGCAGTAAAGGAGAATCCTCACCTGTTAAAACTTGGTTGTAGGTTGCTTTTATTTATTTATTTTATTTTATTCACTTATTTTTATTTTTAATTTTTAAAATAGTATTTAACTTAGGCTCTTTTTCTGTTGGGATTGGGGTTTTTCTCTTGCTGCTGTACCACAGTAATTTCCTAGACTGGGATAAATAAAGTATTTTTCTATTCTATTCTATTCTATTCTATTCTATTCTATTCTTTTAGCATCGAAGATGTACTCATGTACTTGTGTAAAAAAAACACATGTTCCAGTTTGACAGTAAACTAAGCACCACGGTGGCAAAGACGTGAGAGACATCTTGTATGATTTCAGTCCTAGTTCACCCATTGAGGAAAGTAAAATCTGAAGTTTATTAAGTTCGGTAAATGTTGGCTCCATCTCCATAAAAAGCGTTATTTACAGCAGAGGTGAAAGGTGTGTCATCTACAATCAGTTAATACAGAATTAAATTACAAGATTAAGACAGAAAAAATTGGTATGGATGAAATGATAAAGATAAATTAATCATGATCAAGTCTAAAATGGTACTTCGAAATGAACACTGATAAATAGTAATTATATCATGTCTGCTATCCCACAAAGCTGATGTATGGGTTCCATCTGTTTTTTGTTGTTTTTCTTTGTACTATTACATGGTTTTGGATCATTTGCATACTTTCATTAGTCAGAAGTCAGACTTTTCATCTTTCTATATCCTTTTATTTTTATTAAATAATCTTATTATTGTATGAAAAAGTTTCTCAATGGATTTTCAAGAAACTTTACCCTGTTATGTAAAAAATGACGCACACTGTGATAAAGGATGCTGACCTCACAAAGAATCAAGACTAGTTATTTTATCAGAAGATATGAGTTACAATAAGTTATCATGAGGGATGATGCCCTTTATTCTTACAGTTCCTTTCATAGCTGCACTTTTTACAATATGATTTATTTTTTCTGTGTATTTATTGAACTGCTGAGAAAAGGTTGCAGTATTTGAAACAGATTCTTTATTTATGAAAAGTTATCCAGTAATATGAAATACTAAATTACAAGATAGAAGTTAAAATGTTCATTAGCCAAATTTGCTTAAGGTAGAAGTAGTTGTTTCGTAGATAACTGTCCCAAGTGACAGATTATGAGACTACTTGTAGCTGCTTGATGTGAAAGTTTATACACCTTGAGCAAGACCAAAGGCTCCCAAGATAAAGCAGAGAATTTTGTGACAATATTAATGGGACTGGAAAGAAAAAAAATCATAAATGTGTTCTGAGTTTTGTGAGTTTCACCTCTCTGGATGATGATCACCTATTGTCAAAAGTTTGGAGAGGAGATAACAACTAATAATTCATGAGACACTATTTCTGTACAGGGCCGCAAGCAAAAAATAAATAATGGTAACCACTGGCTCAATCTTTAATGTAGTGGAAACAAATACATCACAATTTAATGCAAATTCTCAACTAAAGCACAAGCGCATCAAAATTGTACATTACTTGAATAAATACACTTCTAACATCCCGTTACTGTTTGAAGCAGCAGTCCAGTAGCTTCCTGCTGACCGCACTCAGCACCTCTGGTCGTGTGTTTGCCGACTGTCCAGCGTGCCCTGAACGCAGCGCGGCGCTGCCATGTTGTTGTTTTATTTTCGGGGCAGCGGCAGAGTTTCCAGCTGCTGTCGCTGTCTGCGGACACAGCGGCCAGTTTCAGAGGTGGGTGGCACTGCTTAAATCACGTTATTTGGAATACAACTGAGCTGCAAGTCACTGCAAAAGTTACCGGACGAGCAGAGCTACCGTCGGGTATGTAGTTTTCTTCATTTAAAAGTTGTCTCCGTTGATGTTCTGTCACTCTTTGCTAGGACTAGCTAAAGCTTGCTCCGTGGGTTGGTGCTACTTTTTCCCATTCATGCTAACAGGCGGTAGCTGGTTAACTCAGCGCAGCAAAAAAAAAAAAAGCTCCACTTTCCTGAAAATCGAGGAGGAAAAAATAGCCGACTGTTTGTGCGGGTCAAGAGGAACAACTCGAGTTGATGTAGCTTCGGCACAAGTAGCAACGAATGAGTGGCGTTTTGGAGAGCTAACTTGTGAGCTAGCTGGCTAATGCTGCCAACTGACACCAGTTTGCCAAACTTGGGCGATAACTTGTAAAAGTCTTAGAAACTTTGAGTAGTTTCAAGGGTAGGAAGTGTTAATATGAAGGTAGAATAAAGTCGCAGTGACTACGTGCCTCGCTTGCATTGGCTCTTGTAAGCCAGCGGGATAAAGTCATTGTGGTTTATTTATTTATGGCAGGTCAGGGCAGACTGGAAACGCACCATTAATCAAGTGTTCCTCGGCTTATGTAACATCAACTTGATGTATGATTAATAAGAAGTACTTTCCTGATAGTATAAAGGTTTAAAATTCTCAGTGTTTTCCCCTCAAACCACCTGTACCTCGCTGCACAGTTCACCTGTAATCAGTGAGAGGTCCAGACTCTGTCATTACAACTCTTGTGGAAGTGAATGTGTGATCCTGACTGATGGTGAAACTTTCCTACCACAGAAGGGGAAGTTTGTGATTTCTTGTCCTCGTCTGAGTCAGGTTAGGTTGCTTTAAATCCTGTGTTATTTTCAGTGTGGCTTCTCCTAATAGGGCGGTGTTTGTCTGCCCTAGTGGTATTAAGCTTATTAGCCATTTACATCCAGTAACATGCTTCTTAGTGTAAGAGAGGAATTCCTGCCCTTTCACACTGTTGTCGACACCGTGTTGAATATTTTTGCCGCAGCGGGATGTAATTTTTTTTACATTACTGCTCTTTGTAGGGCTGAAGCTATTTATTGTTTTCATTGTCAGTCAATCTGATGATTTTACAGGTTAACAGATAATAAAATAATGAAGAATGCTCTGCACAATTTATCAGAAACCAAATTCACATCTTCAGGTATCCAATCAACAGATCAAACCCTCAAATGATTAAGTATATAATGATATTAGTACAGTATAATATATAGGAGTATAGTATAATAATGTACAATATTAGTAACTGGTCAATAGTTGGTGTTTAACCATTACCTCTGTGCAATAACACAGTATTTATTACACTATACTTAAAATTTTTCCCCTTAGAAAATACACATTTTACATTCATGCTTATACTGTTTCTACTTATATTTTTAGGACATTTTTCTACTTATTTATATATTTTGTACGGTTAATATTTCTAAGACTTTAAATGGGAGCAGCTGTAACATAAGCAGGAATCAACAAAGCATTTCTGATTCTGATTATATATCAAATTGTGTTCTGAAACTAAATCCAGCCATCACAGGAGTAATGATTTTCACACTTCTGACGGGAGGAGAAAGTGTGAAGACCAGGAAGACACTCCTGCGGTGGAGCTTCATGATCATGGTGACAGGAGCCCAGTTTGATAAATCTACCTCTCGCGTTTTGACGGCTGTGAAGGGCAAGTCTTTCAGGTTGGATGTCAGTTTTGGGAATTGGATGTGGAAGCAGATTAAAATAAAAAAGATTGTTAATGTTTAGTACCCTCAAAAAGAAAGTCTGCCGCAGTGTTGGGCTGAACCGCTCTGCAGGAAGACAGAGCTGAAGGAAATAGTTGGTGAGATGTTATCTAGGTGTGAACTGTGTCTTCATCAGATGTTTCGTGAAGTTTTATAACTTTGTGGAGCAGCAGTAGTTAGATTAAGTATTGGAGTGCAACTGCTGCACCTGGTGATTATCCCAGTGTTTGTTAAAAATCAGGGTTTTTTTTAGTTTTGAAGCTCGATGTCTAGCTCAGAGACTCTTTGCTTGGGTCCTAATTGGTATCAAACTGACTGAAATACCACACAGGCTTTATAGCTCTGTCTATCTGTCTAACCTTTTTTTGTTTTGTTTTTTTTAATCCAGACAAATTGTCTTATTACTGCTAAACCTGCCTTATTGATTATTATTTTGTAAGTGTTGTAATTCTGTAAGTCTCGTTTTTTTTTTAAATCCCACCAGAAACTTGAAGATGTTCAGCGCACTGTGATCTAAAGCAGAAAAATGCAGCAAACCCTTGTAGTTCAAGCGCTCGTACCCACAGATGATTGGCATTTGTGATTGATTAATGACTAATACGACCATTTATCAAGATTCCTTATTGTGTTGCTGCTGTGCTTGAATTGGGAAGTTTGTCTTTTGTTAAGCAGAGTTGCTCCAAACATGTGATCATAAACTGCAAAGTGCAGAAAACCAGGTTGCAAAACTCATTAACTGCTAACTTTGAAAACTGTTGAGGGATGTCAAGCTCAACCTGACGGCCAGTTGTGTTTTCACACCTAAACTGATGGCTCAACATGAGAGAGTTGGCGAGTTTCTAAAGTGTCATGTGTCTTTGGGGTATTTTCACGATGTACTTCCTTAGACGACTGAAAGTGTGCGGCTGGGCGGGAAGTTACCATGAGCTCAGTCAGATGTAAATGAAGGAGTAATGAGGATTACTGACTCCCAGGGAAAAGAAGCCGTCTTTTACATTTCCAACCCCTGGAAAAAAAAAAAACAAAGAAGCTGCTAAATTTACAACACACTTGGTTAAGCAGGTAATCAGCCGTTCTTGGTTACTTGTCGGCTGCTTTAGCACTTGGACAGGACAGTGAGTTTCCTGCTTTCAAGTCATTCAGCGAGCGTGTCCTCTTCCTCTTTGTGTCTCAGCGTGGTAGAACTAGTTCAACCAGAGCTGACGAGGGTGAGGCAGAGTAAAATTAACTACCTGACAGCTTTCAATACGCTCCTCCTGCTCACTCTTCAAGCACAGGAAGTCTGGTCTGGCTTCCTGTGTAATCCAACACCTAGAGCATAATCCAGCAGTTTATAAATGGATGCAGATTACTTGCACAAGGAGAGCAGGTTAGTTCCTCTCTGACACGTCGTCGAGCAGTTCGCAGGTAAACAAACTGATTACCTGTGAATAGACGCTGCTCCCTTTGATGCTCGTGGGAATGAGTGCCATTAAGATTCTACTTGCACTGTCCTTAGTTGTAATGGGGATGAAATGAATACCTTTTATTCATTCTGATTATTATTTTTCTCAAAGCGATTGTGGCATTGTTGTTCTGTGGTTCAGGGAAAGAGGTAGTAGGGGTGTGATGGTCCATCGATCTGGAGCAATGTTAGGGGTGTGATAGTACACAAAAAAATCTGTATGCGCCTCAGTTTTTAAAAGATGATAATTCAAAAGCAGCCTGTCTTTGTGGGCAGATAAAAGCTTGTGTGTACAGGAAGTTAGCTGCCTCTAAACAGATAGCTGATTTAGAGAGAAATCTGTCCATCTTGATAGTGCAGCCTCTCTGTTGTTGTGTAGGTTTCTGCCATGTTTTCTTTATCTTTAAACATTTCCAGCCATAAAATGTCTTCAAAAATTCTTGTTTTTAATTGTGAAAAGTCTTATTTTTCTCTCTGAAACTAGTGTATTGCCTTCAGTGGTTTGTAAGGTTATATAATATGTAGTCTTTGGGTATGCTGTATTGCATATTGCGAGGGTTGTATAGAAAAAAAAACAAATTTTCCGATTAATCCTGATTTTTATTTAAATGATCCAAAATTCATTTGAAAAATCCTGCCATCCTTCTTTGTTTTTGTGGCTTCTTTCATGAGGAGATGCTTGGTGAACCTGTGCTAAATGTCCAGTTGTCGCAACATGCAGGCAAAGGTTAGTTTAAATTAAGAAATAACGGATGACGTTCACCTTGTAGAAGAGAGACAGACTGAAAAAAGTCTGCACACTGATTGTGTTTGTTGGCAAGCTGTTATTTCTGGCTGTGAGATGAAACTTTGGTGCTTTATTCAGTTTCCCCATGCTGTGTAGCTAATGCTAACTAGAAGCTGGCTGCATGTATTACGCTGATGTTTTGTCAACAAGCAGAGCAGATGAACGAACATCTTTCTGTTTCTGCCCCGTTTGTGCTTCAAAGGATCATTTAAATGGACGTTGGTGCAGCATCTGGTTCTGACAGTGGCTGTGTAGCTTCATCAAATTCATAATAATGATGATGCCTTTTAAAGTGGTGCAAGTATTTGTAAGTTTAGAAAAACAAATATGGGTTTTAGCATTTGCCCGAAGAAAAAGGTCAACAGTTTTAAAACAAGGAATGTGTGTAGCCTATAATGTGCACTTACACTGTTTTGCTTCTGAGGGAGACAGCAGTGCTTCTCATTTAGGTTATGAGGATAATTTTCTCACAGGTGCTTTATAAAGCATTAAAAAAAATCAAGGTGTTTCCAATATCCAGCTCGGTCCACATGCTCTACAACCTCCTAACCCATCAAAAGACAATTCATTGCATTAAATGTGATTTTCAATTAAAAATTCAAGGTTTTAACTGATGTATAACATATTACCTTAATTTGCCGTCAACCTTTGGGGGGCGGTAGTAAATTCTTTCTTGAATTCCTGAAAAGTATCATGAGAAGCACTGGATTTTAAAAGTGTGCTGGGACAGGACTGGTACGTTTTCCATAAAATCTACTTTAAACAAAATTTTTAATTCACCACTTGGTTCTTTTCTGGTCCGCAAACATCCAAGTGACAGAAATGTTGTCTTCTGCCCATATCCGTGAGAGTTCCCACAGACTTCTCCGTCCATTGCAGGTCAAAATTTGAGACAGCAGATACTGTTTGTGGGCTGCAAGGTGGATCGGTGTTTAGCATCGTTGCCTCGCAGCTAGAAGGTCGCTGGTTCTTGTCCTGGTGGGGACACCGGAATCTTTCTGTGTGGACTTTGCATGCTTTCCCCGTGCAGTGTGGGTTCTCTCCGGGTTCTCCAGCTTCCTCC